CACCTCTGAAATGTCCCAGGGCCCATACCCTACAGATGAGGATCTCAAAGCAGAAAATATTTTTGTGCTCTGGGCTAACACAGGCTTGGTGATCCCCATCAATCTCTGTATGCTCTTGCCCAGGTCCGTTAGTGCCGTCATTGAACCCCAAGCCTCTCTTATCTGCAGCCTTTCCTCTCAGCAATAAGTTGTACCACCTCCAGGCTTTACTCATGCTCTTCCCTGCCTGCACCTCCATCTCCAACTCTCACTACCCCCCAGCCCTACCCATATGGCCAAAACCGGAAGCTGCCACTCCCTCTGGGCTCCTAGAGATTCACCTGCTCCTAGCCACTGACCATGCCAGGCTATGCCCTCTCCTGTTTTGAGGATGTTCCTGGAGGACACTGATGGTGTCTATCCAGGTTTATTGGTCCAGTATCCAACACAGCCTGGCCTGGAATACATGTTTTGACAAACGGCACCTCAAGGAACCTAAGGCAAGTGGTCAGAAAATTCAACAGCAAGAGATACCATATGAAGGACCAAGCAGGCTCTCTGTACCTGTAACCATAATCTCAGCATTTGTGCAAAGCTGGACTTCCATTTAGGAGACTCACATCAGCACGTGCCCTGTTTTATGATAATGTCACAGCAGAAGCTAAGCAGCCTAACCCACAGGTACCCAACTTGGCCTGTTGAGTCCAGCACCCCTCCCACCACATCAGCAGGTCTGCGTGTCATCTGGAGACACTGAGTCTTGAGACTGGCTTGGCCTGGGGACACCAAATATATCGAAAATTGGGGCAGGAAGAAAACCCCAGAATACTGATTTTTCTTCTTTAATTTAAACAGGAAGAAACTGAGGCCTAAATGGGCAATACAGCACAGAAAAGGCCAAGCCCAGAACATGATAGATAAGCCAGGAAGATGGACAAGAAACAGAACTGAACTATCAGCATGACCCTGAAAGGAAGCATTAGCCCTATCCAGATCCGCTCCTAGTCAGAGCTGGTCTCCAGTGGTCGGTCCTTGGTAAGGTGGGTCCTGAATGACTGATGACAATCACTATGTGTGACAAGCAGGTCACAGTGAATCCTGGCATCCCAGAGTTCAGGGTTAATGTAGAACCCAGGTCACTTACAGCAACCACCTAGCTGAGACTTAACTAACTGCCATATCATTTCCTTGCTGGCTATTTTGCCTTTGCCTGGCAACCTTGGGCAAGGTATCCCTTCTAGGAATAAGCAGTTTACTGGTTTAATGACAACTTCATATTTAATCAGTGCATTGAAAAAATATCTCTAAAATTTTGATTTGAGTTTCAGTTCTCCCCCAAAAAAGAAATGCTTCAATCCAGTCCCTAGTTCTCCGACTAGGTTCCACAGCACTGTAGGGTTTTAAGGACGTACCTTGGAGCTGCTGCTGGGGAAAGAGGAGATGGAGTGGAAGGTGAAGCCCAGGACAATTGAGTTCTGAGGCTCATGAAGGGCTGAACACCCATCTTGGAGACAGAACAGAATACTTGTAGGTGACACAAAGTCTTTGGAGAAGATGAGCTAAGACAAACACAGAAAGGGAGGAGGAGCCTTTGAAAAAATAGGCCAACTTCTCCCTGCCCTGCTTTTCAGCCATAGCCCTGGAGATGGGTCCAGTTCATGTTCCTGCCATGTGGAGCCAAGGGACACAGAGGCCAAAACCTTATCAGTTAATCAGGGTCCAAGCTGGCAGTGCTGGGGGACCTGCAAACCAAGCTGCAGTGTATGAGGGCTGGACAGGTGCTGTATTCCTGGAAGTCAGCCCCATAACTACCTGGGTTGCCTTAAGCTAATTACTTAACTTCTCTGTGCTTTGGTTTCTCTGTTGGTAAAAGGGAGCATCTAAGCTTGAAAGGATGTAGGATAGTGAGGATCCAATGAGAATTCACATCAAGTGCTATAAATAAATACTAGAAAACTGGGCAGCTGCTTCTAATGTCTTATCATCATGGACCCACCATTCCATGCACAGGGAAAACCAGAGGCTCAGACTGCACTATGTAATGGTTACAAAGCATTAGCAATCAAAAGCAACAGGATGCACTACTGGCTGCTTGCTATGAAGCTCCTGCTGTGCAGACAGAAACTAAGCCCTGTGGGTCACTGGGTGACAAGTGGCTGTCCCAGATCTGCTTGACTCTAGCTTGGGCTCTTCCCACTTGGGCTTGCCATCCAGGCACAGAAAGGGACAGAAGATGCTTCTCTGTTCCTAGAAGTCACATGCATGCATAGATATAAAAATCACCTCATCTCCAAAAGGGTCACTCTGAAAGGTTAAAATTAAGTTTTTCTGTGCCACCCTGGCTCTGCAGTCATCCCCAGAGCCAACCTCCTGTCTCTTGCCCATCTTCCCTACCCCTCCCCTTAGTGAACTTTGGTCCACTTGGTCAGTAGCTCCCCTCCTGGAGTTCTCACACTGGCAGCCCCCCTGCCCTTTGTCCATCCCACCATCAATCACTGTGGTGACAGCAAGCACAAAGGAGCCTGAGTCACAGAGACTTGCAGAAAGGGAATCATCTATACTCTTAAAAACAGAAAATATAAGTAAACTGTGTCACAGCCCCCAAACGAGGAAAGGAACACAGAGTTATCACAGAGGGACATATGAACTGCTAAGTCCAAGAGAATGCACCATGAACTTCCACTTGTGTGACACAGGGAAGGGTGATTCCGTTTCCATCGCTTGGAGAACTGGACAACATCTCCTCTAAAGGGATATTTCCAAGGTCAGTAGGCATGTGTGCCAAAGTGCCCCGCATGAAGCCTGGTACCTGCAGGGGCTCCCGTCTTGGGTCCTTCCTGTCCTTTCTTTGCATTTGGAATACTTAGCACTCAACACAACATTCTACCTTCTTCAACATCCCACCCCAAAGACTTCCCTGCAAAGCACAGCCACACTTGGCATCCTGCCACTAATTCACTGCGTGTCCTTGGGCTTTAGTCTCTTCCTTTCTACACTCAGCTTCCCCATCTGTAAAATGAGGCTGCTGGGTTCAGAAGCTGTAGAGGAGCCCTTTCTGCACTGACATTCTGAATGTAACAGTGTCCCAAGGTCACTCTGATAACTGCAACCCCATTAAGTGCTGGCCAAAGCCTGGTGAATTTGAGGGTGGACTGCAGGAAGGGGCATGGCAGAGGCTCAGGGTCCTGCAGGGCCCCAGGCACACCTCTATGGGGAAGACTCCACCACTGAGGCTGCTTTGCTGAGGGATTAGAAGATGGGAGTGAACAGGAGGTTGGGCCCCTTAGAAGCCTGGCCTAAGTCACTCTGGTCAAGCTCTCTCTGCCCTGCCCTTTGCCAAGTGGCCAAGCGCTCTGAAGGCCACCTGACTGCATTCCATGAACAGGAGGAGGAGGCAGAAACATAAAGAAAGGGCCTGGACAAGAACCTGGATCAGTCTCCATACTCCTAGGAATTAATGTTCAGCAAGAGTCCAGCACACACTAAGTACTCACCATCTGTCACTCCCTTTCCCTTTTCCTAATTCATTCAAGACGAAATCAAGAGGAAGCACAAAAAGAAGTGAACATCAAATAAATAGTAAGAAGGCCACAGAAACACATTTGTATCCAGAATTCCCAGACACACAATGCACTAATTCAACAGGCCTCAAAAGTCTTTCCCAGTCCTCTTTTATATGCTGTGGCACTGTGTGGCTCTTATTCCTACCTTGTATAGGGCAACTACCACAGCGAGTGAGGAGGACGATGAAGTGGCTTCTCTGACTGTCACCTACCCACCCCCATGGTGAGACTTTGCTCAAGATGGCTGATAACTGTGTGTGTTCCTTAAAGACACCCAAGCATTTTCCTGCAGGTGGCTGTACATTTGGCCACATCTTCAGGGTCCCACACAATTGCTTTGACTAAGTTCTGTCAGCCAAATCCAACAGAAAACAGCAAGAAGGAAAAAGCTTCTGTTTCCAATAAAGCTGCCATAAGAACCAGATTTTTGAAGCTGCTGACAGTCTCAAGACAAAAATTTCTGGGTACATGGCCAAGGATACTTTTGTCCCTACTAGTGTTTGGTTCTGTCCTCTTTTATTAATCAATGAAAAAATGAAAGCAAGGTGATCTGGCGTGATTTTCCCTTTTCCCTTGGCTTCTAGGAAGCTCCAAGTAAAGTTTTTATTTTATTTTATTTTTGTGGGGTTTGGGGGGGTACTGGGAATCAAACTCAGGACCTTGCGCTTACCAGGCAGGTGCTGCACTGGCCTATTTTTGAGTTATATCCCTGGCCTATTTTTGTGTTTCCTTGAGACAGGGTCTCACCATGTAGCCCAGCTGAGCAATCATCCTGCCTCAGCCTCCCAGAGTAATGGGATTACATGCATGTGCTACAATACTTGCCTTCCAAGTTTTATGTTTTACATGCCATATTTTCAGCCAACACTTCCCTAGAAAATTTCCTTTTCCTTTCCATTTACTTCTTGGTCACTATCTTTGGTTAACTGTACATGGTACCCTTATAGTTGTGCCCTGCCAGTTTTTTCCTAATGTAGGCAAGACATACAGTGGTAAATATGGGGAAGCCTTAACATAGCACTTCCCCAGCAACACCCACCTTACTACAAGCATAGCCTGACCCTTCTGGGGCCACTGGGGATGCCTGAGAAAGGCCCTGCTCCTTCACCTTCCTCCCCACTGAGCTAGGAGCCTCTAGTGCTAGACTTAAATGTGGCTGATTGCCACAAAACTCCTGCTGGGCTCATTAATTCCAGCAGCAGCATTAGGGGGTGGAGCTCAGTGGAAGTGTTTGGGTCTCAGTGTGCTGTGCTCACGAATAGACTTTTTGTGGGACTTCTGGTTCTGTGGGGCTGGATTAGTAACCACAGAGTGGACTGTTATAAAGCAAGGTCACCCCTCTTCTGCGTGTTTAGAATCCTAAACTCAATAACCCCCTCTCTTTGTAAATCTTTCAGTCTCAAGAAATTCTGTTATAGCAACAACATGAACTGAAACACTGCCTGCTGCTCCACTTACCTGTCATGATCCTCTGGGCCTCATAGGGCTCCATGTAGCCAGCACTCTCCCCCTTTCCTGCTTTGCTCTTGAGGTCATTCTTGGCATCAAAGGGATCAGAGTAGTCATCGGCTATGGTCACCTGTGGGGAGCAAGAGTGTGGGGGGTAAGGCCACCTTTGTTTTGTTTGTGTGTTTCACTTTTGTTCACAGCTGTGCTTTAAGCACCAAATCTGCCTCAGGTGGAGGAGCAAGGAGGAAAAGGGAGAAGAGGCAGGAATAGGAGCTGGTGCCCCTCACTGGCAGTGCTCTGACCTGAGGGTCCCTGGGTCTGTGCACATAGCCTGGCTGGCTCCATACTCAGTGTGGTGAGATTGGAGGTGGATCTGGGTGGAGGGGACCACAGGCACACAGGTGTGAACCTGGAGGGTGTATTCCAGGAATATGAGTTACTCAGTTTACTGGGACAGAAACGGAGGAAATGCTAGAAATGAGAGTGCACTAGGACTAGAAATGCTGACGTGCCCCTGTTGCTGGCTGGGGCATACAGGAACTCGCCCAGAGATGATTATGTTCAGCGTTCCATTTTCCCCATAGCTGGAACGCAACCAAACCTTGGGTCACTAGACAACAATTTGGTGAGATCAACACACTATAAAGATGACTATGGCCCCAGACAGGCCAAGTGGAAACACAGAAGCAGCTTGGGGGTTGACACATGGATGCCAGGGCCAGAAAAGGCCTATAGCAACAGACCCGAATGAAGATTCTTTTCTCAACTTTCAGGTACTGAGGTCCAGACAGGTGCCAGATCTTCTTGGCCCTTTCTGGTGTCCTCACTGGAGGAACTGCTGGAGCTCAGCCCAACCCACTCCCCAGAGAGAAAAGTTTCACTAGGGACAGAGGAAAATGAGTCACCTGGGTAGTTGGGTGGGGGGACTCCTAGGAGAAAAGGTGTATTAGGGATTCTACACAAAGTTCTGCTTTCTTAGAGCCTTAGGGGAAATACAGACACTCCCATTTCCGAAGCTCTAATCTTTATGAGGGTACACTCAATCAAAAGCAAAGAGCAGAAACACACCCAACTGTGCCCCTGCCATGCACCGCTTCACCACAGGCTCCCAGAATAACTGCCCCTTTGCCCTCTGACCATGCATCTAACAAAGGGCAAGTGCTTGGTCTCTGCCCTTCCGCCGGGGCCACCCTGCTCCTCTCCTGGGAAGGTGGGTAGGTTAGCAATCCCCTCCACTCTTGGGGTTATATGAATTGTTATTTAAATTGTGGGCTTAATTAGAAACCACAGGAGCCTCCCTCTCCCCCAGCTCCTGGAATGTGAGGCATTTGCAGGGCCTGTAAACCCCCGGGAAGGGAAAATTTCTCTTTGTCTGCCTGGAGAATGGCAGCTCACAGAAGCAGCCTGGGCAGGGGGCACAAACAACTGCCAGCTGGCCCGAATGTGATGCCTGCTGAGGGACAGCAGGCAGTAGATCTGTCCCTGGTCTGACAATAAGTGTGGCACCCAGTGATCGATCCCTGCATCTCATAACAGGAGTATGCTCACCAGAGAAGACCCAGGCCTAGAGCACCCAGCATGGTAAGATCAGTGGCTGCCTCCTCCCCCACAGTGCTGTGGGTCAGGCTCCGGGGTCCCAGCGGGTATTCCAGATGCTGACATTATAATCGCAGCCTTTCTAGAGACTCAAGGAGCTCAAATGACACTAAGCCCGGGAAAGAAGGGGTGGGAGAGAGCCTGGCCTGGTGATATCTTTCATTTGATATTTCTACTCTACCATTTGCAGAACACATTAGGGAGAAAATTATACATGTGAAGCACCATCAAACAGAATGGTTCAGATCGGGGCAGAGTTTCAAAATCAGGGACTAGACGTCCAAATGGAGAAAATGATATAGCTGTGGATATAGATGACATCTGATCTTAAGTTTCTGGACCCAGACTTCCTCACTGTTTTCAACATGAACATCCTACATCTAGTTTGCAATAAGGAAGAGAAGAAGTATTTCCCCAAGAAAACAAATTCACTGGGAATGAAGGTTGTTGGGGGGGAGTGGCACTGCAGTCACCATAGTAACCTAGAAATCGGCATTCCGGCTCCTTATAGAAGTGTTCTGTAATTTGAAAACATGGAGGCTTGCAGGATATACGCCAAATCTTTGTTCGCCTTGGGACAGGAGCTTTGGGAGGCCTGTGATTTAGCAGGCACTATCTATATTTTCTAATTAAAATGAGATCTGAGCTCAGGCTGTCAGGAGCCTCCAGCTGCCTCCCTGCTTACTTCCATTTCAATAAGAATTTACAAATCTTAAAACTAGGGAAAGCCCTTGCTCTCTACTGACATATGGTTTCAGTTATACCTGCTGACAGTTGAAAATCCTTCCGTTTAAAAAAAAGTTTAGAATTCTGTTCGTTTAAGCAGTAAATTGGAAGGTTCCTAAAAACATACATTTAATCAATTTGCTTTTCAACTTCAAAGTGAGGTTGGTGGAGGGAAGGGATGTGGAGGTTTGAGTAACCTGAAACTTGGCAAACACTACACTCAACTGTCCAACCTTACATAAAAATCATGTCCTAGTAGGGAGTAAAAATTTAACCAAGGGCCGGGGATTTAGCTCATTGGTTCTGGCACCTGCCTCGAAAGTGCAAGGATGGGAGTTCGACCTCTGGTACCAAAAAAATAAAATAAAAAAATTTTTAAACCAAGTGTTAGTAGAGTTGAGTGGGCAGTCAGAAAGGGCACCACATGCAGTATCACAGGCCCCAGCCATAAGGACTGGCAGTGTGACCACTGTCCAGGATACCTGGTATCACCATAAATCAAGGAGGCCAGGCAAGGCAGGAGATTTACTTGAAGGCTGCCTCTGAGTTTCCCAGATACAGGCCTGGATTCCGGCTGGGATTGCTTATGCTTTGTTTTAAAATACCCCAGTTCGCAACCAAGCCCTATAAATCTAACCAAAAGGTAGCCAGACAGGCCTTCTCTGCAAGCCAGGTCACCTGGGTGCACAACAAACTTTTCTTGAATTTTGGTCTGGACTGCAAAGAACTAATATGGATGAGATCCCTAGAGTATAGCTAATGCAGCCATGGGGGGCAGAGCCAGAGCTCAGGTGGAATCCAGGCCACTTGATCCCACCTTCCCAAGGAGCTAAGCAGATGCAGTAAGAGGACAGGGAATACGGGGGCTGCCTCTTTACTGCGTCAGCTGCCTGTGATGAACTCTAAACCTAGGCAAACACCTTTTCCTGCTTTCAAACACGGAGAGACCAGCTTTAGTCTCCCCTTGTTTTAAACATGGCCTCTTGTACCCAGAAGGACAGAGCCTTGTCACAGTTGCCCACGAAGGCAGCAGTACAGCCTCAGGGCCAGCCCACACCTCCTGACTGCCACACTGGGGATCTAGACTCCAATACACCCTTTGCCTCCCCGCAAAAGCTCCCTGAGCTGGCTGCAGACTGATAATCGGCTCTCTGTGCCTTCTTTCTGTCTCATACATGCTGTTCAGTGGAATTTGGTCCCTTCCAGCAGCACTGGTTGTTTTTATCTGAGGGATTAGCTATATGATAGGAAGTAGTCTTCCTGTTCATCCCCAAAGGGAAGTGCTAAAGGAAGGTGGGTGTTACCACTTGGCCATATTTCCACTTATCCTGGTGAGAATTGTAGTTGCTTTTATGAGATAGCTGCCACTTGCATGGAGAACTGGGGTCTCTCCAAGACTCGGTGGCCATGTACTTGGGTGGAGCCACTTTGATGTGTAACTTTTGGCAGAATCCATCAAAACCCCCAAATACATACATTTTCATCCAGCAATTTCACTTCTCAGTATTTATTCCCAAATATGCACAAAGATGCTCCCTGAATAGAGTAATAATGGGAAATTACAACACCATCACTATGTCCATCAACAGGGGAACTGCTATGACGGGTGTCGTCGCTCACGCCAGTAATCCCAGCACTCAGGAGGCTGAGGCAAGAGGATCACTGTGAGTTCAAGACCAGCCTGGGCTACATAGTGAGTTCGAGGTCAGTCTCAAATACATAGTGAGACCCTGTCTCAAAAAACCCAAAAACAAAACAAAACAAACAAACAAAAAAACCAGGGGAACTGCTATATAAAACAATTTACTTCCATTCTGCAGAGTATTATACAGCAAGTTTAAAAATGTGCTAAATACACGTGCTGAGAGTTCTCCAAGATGCTGCTTTGAACAAAAAGAAAGTAACTGCAGGATAATAACTACAAAATGACACCTACTTATGAAAAGCAAAACAAAAATCTGTATCTCTATTAATTTGAAGAAAAGGTTTGAGGAGAAGCACATTCCAAACTAAACCCTTCCTCTGGGAGGAGAGCAGGACTGGAGTTGGGGGAAATTCAAAGGAGGTTTGTCGGACTGCAATGTCAAAAAATTGTGCAAACAAGGAGAATCTATTCATGTATTAAATGCAAAACTAAACATGTTGAAAAGCATTCCTCCTCCAAAGGCTATTTTTGGTACACTAGATAGCCTATTCGCCAGACTTGCCTGAAGACAGGAATGGCCTGGTAGGCTTGTTAAGACAGTAAGTCTTCTGGCCTCTCTAACCTGTGTATTTAACTAGAAACCCAGGTGATTCTTATCAAAAAGTTTGAGAAACAAAACGCTAGTGCCAACCCCCTTCCCCCACCAGTCTGAAGACAAGTATCCAGACATTACTGTGGAATTTCACTTTTCCCAGCTACCTCTCAGACTTGCTCATTAAAGTCAAATAAGAAGTTAAAAGTCAAGCAAGAAGTCGAGTTAAATGCAGCTTTCCTGCCTTCTCCCTGGGGTCAGGAGAGCTGACCCAACACACCTTCATCCTCTCCTGGATCTCTCAGGTGTGGAGGGAAGGGCTCCCTCCTATTCGACCCTGAAGACGGGCCCTGGATTGAGCAATGTAGCCTCTGCAGGCAGAGAGCAAAGAGAAGCAGGGGGCCAACAATGATCCTAGTCCTGAGAACCGTTTGGCTTTCAGGAAACCCCTCTAGGACCGTCTTCCAGCTCCTAAAAGAGAGTGGTAGTGCCAAGAGAAGCCACTGCACAATGGCAAAGGAGGTCCCTGCTAACAGTGGGCCCTTGAAAACCCTTTTTAAGAAGGGCTAGA